TGATACTCGGTAAGGGAATAAAGTTATTATTCAATTGACTTTGATGTATCTTTCCATTATTATTTCAGACTTTATTTGTATTATCTTTTGTGGAGCTAGATTATATTAGTAAAGCTTCTCTAAACCAATAAAAAGATGGAAGTGAGGCATTGATTTATTTCTCAATCAGAGGTTAAAAACACCACTATTTATTATTATCTCGCTCAATATGGAAACGATAGAGATAGAGGAACATGCCTCCTAAGGGCAATTATCAATACACATTTCCTTGTCACGGAAACAGTGGCCAATGGTGGTACAGCAGTACACTATTTGATGCCCCACACATGCATAGATACAGTTTATGATCTGTGTGGGGTGCTCTGCTGGCTTGTCGCACGGTCCGAATACGATCTCATTCGGTGAAATCTCTAGTGAATCATCCAACGGTCCTGATTTGATTGCATTGTACATGACCATTTTTTCCTCTGGAGTGCCATCTTCAAGTCGTAATGTAAACACTGCAGACAAATGGGGAAAAGAGAGTCACTGTCAAAGTTCAATGTAATTAAGGGACAATGTAGGCAAAGGATATAAAACTCGGACTCGGCCGAGTTACATAATCATAGAATTTAAATTTGTAACTATGTACATGGAAACTAGTCAAGTTTGACCAATTCTTACTTTTTTTTTATATTCATTGCACAAAAATCGACTCGGCCAAAATATTTAGCCCTTAGCCAAGTCGAGTAACTCAGCCAAGTTAAGAACACCCCCAAAAAAAAAGACAGCAAAGTAATAAAAAATCTCTAAAAAATCCTTAGAAACAAAAAACAGTTGACAGGATTAATATAATCATTATGAGACTAAACAAGATGAGAAAAAACTATAATAGATAGATTATTGAAGAAGTGGATTTATATCTTGAATATTTCAAAAAAAATTAATAAAAATGGAAAAAATATGAAAGTCCTTCAATAATGCTAAGGCCTGAAAGGTTGTACACCTAACTCGCCAGGAACTCGGCTCGCCCATAAGGCGAGACCGAGTTACTTGGACTCTGCTGGGTCCCGACACACTGTAAATTTCTGAGGGACTTTTTTCTTCGGCAAACTTAACAAGGTGCTTGACAGACTCGGCCAAATCCGGAAAACCAACTCGGACTCAGGACCCTTCCGAGTCCGGATCTAATTTCATATCATCTTTCAGTGAGTTAACCCTTACTGCTTTTTAGGTATCCATTTGCGCATAGAGAAAGCAAACCATGATGCTGTAACTTACCTGGGCAGAGCACATAATCACTGAGAATGAGACTGAGAATGATGGGGAGATGAAAGGGAGTGAGAGCCATGGTAGATTATGGGACTATTTTTTTGGTTTTGCTATTTTTCCTGATAGAAATTGCATTATGAGGAAGCGTTTTTATATTAGCAAATGGAATCAGTTCCCTTGGGCTTTTATAAAACGTGTTGATTTTTCATAGGGCAGCCATTATGAGCTTTCAACACGTCAAAAATTACGTTACTTTTAGACAGCAAAAAATCGCACGCTTACCAACCGTTCCCGCGCAAGAAAATGCAAACATTTGGAGACAGAGAAAAAAAGAAAAGAAAAAACCTAACGGTCGATAAGGAATTATTGGAAGCAATTTTAAAAAAAACTATTAGCAGGACAGATCGTCTCATCTAATATTGGTTCAGATCAGTTGGATCGGAGATCTGGATAGTTTTTGAATCGTCAGGATTGCTGATCCCAATAATAATAATAATAATAATAATAATAATAATAATAATAATAATAATAATAATAATAATAATAATGATGATGCAAGAAAAAAAATATTATTATTAGGATTTTTGAGTTTATCTTTAACTTAAGAATAGAAGGTGCGTTGGGATAATTAAGTGGAAGTTTATTTTGTATGTCAATGAATTGATATTTATCCATAAGGTGGTTGGTTTAAGAGTATAAATATGATAAGTTAAATTTAGGGGGTTTATCTTTTGGCAATGTGGCTATCTATTAAAGAGGGTAAATTATGGGTAAAACGTGGCTATCTATTGAAGATGAAGGCTTGGGATAAAATGTGGGTAGGTTAAGAGAGAGAAAATAGGGGAGTGATAAAATAGGAAAGTCCATTGTTTATCTTCTTTTTTAATTTTTTTAATCTATTTAAAATGATATCTTCATTATAAAGTAGTGAATAAATTAATAAAATTTGGTCTTGTTCAGAGATTATTTTGGAAATGATTCTCTTGCAGACCTTGAGAGATGATATATTCTTTCAACTTTTCTTTCTTTTGTTTGTTCTTTTTCCGTGTTATTTTCTCTGTGCATCAATTTGCATCAAATAATAATTGTTTGTTCTTTTTCCCCTGTTATTTTCTCTGTGCATCAATTTGCATCAAATAATAATTGTTTGTTCTTTTTCCCGTGTTATTTTCTTCCTGCATCAATTTGCATCAAATAATAATAAAATTAAAATAGACGTTCATCGGGTCGGGATTTAGAGGGTAGAAAATATTAAATAAGCTTAACGATAAAAGGAAAAAAATGGAAAACAAGGTTTTATGGAGGATCCAGGCCGGGACCCATACAATTTTAAAGTCGATTTGGTCCCAACTAATTTCGCATCCGGATCGACGACTCAGATCAGAAATCGTCGGGTTTTAAAACACTGATCGGAAGGGTTAGACCTAAGTTCTAATAGTACAAACTCCAAAGACAAGGCTGGAATCCTAACTTTTTAACCAGTGCTTTAAAAAGGGAAAAAGTTTATATAGAGCCGAGGCTCTAAACAATCAAATTAGAGTCTACATTGAAAATTTCACTAGAAGAGGTTGTTTTGATGCCCAAATATCCTCAAATTGATCATCTCGGCACCAAGATGCATGGACATGAGAAAAAAATAGATTCCAAGTTTCAGAAATAGTGTTTCTTGTTATGCATTTTTGGACCATCAATTTTCAAGAATTTCAAGTTTTTATAGATTTGCTTGACCTATACTATTTTTTAATATTTAAATTTTATATTCAAAAAAATATATATATTTTAAGGCTATTACCAATATTTTCAGTATTGAAACCACAACTGCAATCGCACTTTATAGTTTATATAAATTACACAGTTTAAAATTTGGATTTCTAAACGAGCCCCTTACACAAGAAAATTTGTGCATGTTGGAAACGATTTTTAATTTTTTAAAAAATGATCCTAGCCTAAAATGCAAATAAATAAATAAATAAAACTCCGAAAGTTTACACTTTATTGTTGAACATCCCAAAATATGAATCATTCATATGATCAATTAGAGGCCTTTTCAACAGTAAAACAACTTTTTCCGATGGATTTTTGAGGTGCATCTGTAATTCTATTTTTTAAGGTTGCAACCTTATATACACCGAATGTCTGGTTTTGCTCACGCACATATATGGGCAAGGTCTACTTTTGACCATAGTTATCCAGACTAGGCTAGATTTACTAATCCGACCGATCGCACAGTAATTGGTGCTTTGTCTTTCAAAGTAAAAATTGAGTTCGATTAAAAACTGTAAAAACCAACATTTGATCAATTTTAGTAGATCTAACAAAGCTGGTTTTGACCAAGTAGATTGGCAATCAAAATTGGTTACTCTTTTTATTTTTAATTAATTTATTTTTCAACTGTCATTCTTTTTTTGGACTCTTATTTTTTTTCTCTTCAAAAACTCATCTAAAAAATTAAACTGGTGGTTTGACTCATTTTGATTGAACCTCTCACTGATTTGATGGCCGGCCTAATCCTAATGAATTTGTGAGAGTGCTTTCATTTGGAGTATGGGCATATCTAACTTAGAGCGCCTTAATCCTCGTTTAGAATATACAAGTCAATTTTTTCATATCCTTATTATAACTCCTAATAGAGTTTTGGAGGGTCTTGTGTCTCTAATTCCCTATTTCTAAAAAGGTAGATCTTGTGAATCGCATAAGAAAAAGGATTGTATATATTGAGACTATTTACCGTTGGTATAAGGAGGTCCCAATTATTTATAACCATCCATTGTGAAATCTGATAGTTTGCGTGTATCATAAAATTTGAAAAAAAATCTTTTAAATTGCTTAGTCAATACAATAAATGTAGCCACCTAATTTCACATTTAATAGCCAAGATTAATTATTACCACCTTGTACTAAAAATGATCTCATTGTATACTTTTCCATATGCAAGTGATTTTTTCCTTTCTTTTGTCCTTCAAAAAGAACGATCAACAAAATAATTTGGTTACCCTACCCCTTTGTTGGTTGCATATTTTTTTGCTTCTTATTCGATCAAGTTTTCTCTTTATCATGTTGCTTAGTAAACCTAACAGATAACCCCTTACTCTAAGAAAGGTAAAGCTTATTTTTTTAGTGTTTAATGTGTACCCGAGGATTTTGGGATTTGAATAGAGAATAGCCATTAAAAAAAAAATAGGGGGAAAAATATCAAATAAGGAGTTGAAAGCCCTTACAATATGAATCATGTATGCTTTTAAACTTGAGGGTAATATGAATCATGTATGCTATTAAACCCAAGGGTGGTTTCTATATCAATAAGGTATGTCCTCAAAAAAAATATCAGTTTTTGTTTTAAATTCACCTTATTTGGGATTGGGAAGCCAAACCAATTTTGGGGTAGTTTGGTATTTGCCCCAATTATGATTTGGTTAAAGCCTCTTTAGTTATAAATTGCTAAAGTACCTCTAATCGTTTTGGCTTCTCAATTTCAAGAGGCAACTTAGAAATTTTTCAATTTTTTTTATAAGGACATACTTGATTGATATGGAAATTTAAAAGAATAACAGTATATTTATGATCTTTTGACCCCCCGTAGTAATCTTGTAAGGGATTTAAACCTCTTTTTATATTTTCACTTAAAACAAATGGCTAATCTTCCAATATCTATTTCACTTGGGTGCCAATTTGAAATGCCTTTCACTAGAACAGACTGGTAACTCCTTTTAAAGGATTTTTCTCAATTACGTTTTCCTCCACATAATCATGTCAAAAAAGGAATATCTTTTGTTAAGAAAAATGTTTTTAGTATTTTTAATTTAACATATCTTATTTGTAATGGGCCGTAGAATAATTTTCTCTACTAACTTTAACTGTAAAAGAGAAATTTATCAAATACACCTAATTTTTTAACTAATTAGTATTTCTCATTTTTTAACTAACAATCATGTGCATTTTGATGTAATTTTTGAAATTACATCGAAAGATATGGGTAAAATGTTAAAAATTCTTCCCTTAACTACATTTTAGCAAGTTACTGCATGCAAAATGATTTGCTCTATCTCACTTAGGTCAAGGTCGATTTTTTGTTCAGCGACTTGCATATATTATTTTCATCCTTTAATCTTTCGAGATAATCTTTACTTCCAAAATATTATATCCAATTCGTCATAATGTCCCATCAATGGTACAATAACGAATACTCCTTCCTCCATTGCCCACCAATTTCTTTCTTCTAATACTGCTCAAATTAGAAATTTGAGAGGAGAGAGACTCATGCAAACCTTGTCCATGATATTGCAATCTAAATTATTAGGTCTCTTAGTTGTTTGAACTCCCCGGTGTTAAAACCCTCTCTTATTGCATTCTATCTTCAATATGAGAGCTGCCTCATGCACATTGGGAGGCAAAAAAAACTCCACCAAAAGTTGTTGTTGCTGTTGTTGTTATTATTATTGTTATTATGAAAAAAAACTAAAGTTAACCAACCAGCTAATGGAACAGTGTAAGCCCAACGATCCAGATTGAATTTGTGCCGCTCTGACAGTAACGATTGTATTTTGTATTTGAATTTTAGTTTTTGTTTTTTTTCTATCAATCCAAATCACTTGAAATTTTGAGCATCTATGCTATAAAAATAGGAGAATCTGATAACAATATCCAAAAAATAATTTGTAAAAATAAATTAATAAAAATACCCTTGAAAATTTTTTAGAATATTTTTATCAATTTATTTTTCGAGTTATTTTTAAACTATTTTTATTAGGTGTATCTTGATGAAAAGAATGGATGTCTAAAATTTCATATGATTTGGATTTGTATACAAAATATTAAAATTATATTACAAAATGAGGTCGTGAATATCATATCAGCCCATATTCAATCTGAGCCGTTGGACTTACATTATTCTATCAGCTGGTACCTAAAATTATTTATTTACTTATTTATCTATATATTTTTAATGTTATCTTGTAGTTCAATCTCCCCAACTATGTGGATCTCGGTAAAAGAAAAATTGATTTACTTTTTTCTTCTTCATTTAAATGTTGTTGGTTTTTTTATTTTTTGTTGACAAGCTTCGAGGGTTACTTTTGAATGCATACGGGACAAGCTGATCTGCTCTT